AATTACTAACTGATCAGGGCTTCAATTTTCTCATCTCCAATACCATTCTCTAAAGGTCAAACAACCACCCAAAAAAAAAAAAAAATGGGAAATATTCAGTGTGACTCAAGCCAAAGTAAGGGCTGTCAGCCAGTGCTATTAGTACAAAGCACAGAACACTAGCATTACAAAAGATCAAATCCTTTCATCATCTCAGATCTACTCCATGGTGTGGAGCCAGGTTATCCATTTTTATCTCTTTATAATTCTTATGGCTGATGAAGTTTGGGAGATGGTGCTGTAAGGAGCCTAAAAATGTAACTTAGCTCAGTCCCCCCGCCCTCATTTTACAGACGAGTGATAATCCAAAGACAACCAGCAACTTGCTGAAAGTCATTCAGTAGTCATGTGACAGTCACTCCACCTTGCATCTCTCTGTCTTGACCCCCCAAACTACATTAGTACTATCAAGATCCTCAACTTAGGGCCATCGAGATGGCTCAGCAGGTAAAAGTGCTTGCCACACAAGTTGGACAACCTGAATTCAATCCCTAAATCCCACAGTGGAAAAAGAAAACTGACTCCCCAAAATTGTCCTCTACATCTACCCACCGGCTGTGACACATGCTTACAAACACACATCGAACACACAATAAATAAAGTTTTGTTTTTTTTTTTTTTTTTATCTAGAGCAACCCTGGAGAAATCAAAGAAATACAAAACTCCTGTGATCCCAGAGAACTAGAAAAAGATAAATGAGGAAAAACTATCCAATATTTGTATTACACATTCCCTGACCTTTATTACAAAGATACTCTGGAAAAAGTCACCAGCAAACATTTGAGTTTCTTTTCAAAAAGAGTTAAAACTTCAGAATGACAAATCCCAAAAGCAGGTCTCACTGAAGAAATAACACTAGCCATTTTTACTAAAAGTTTCACACATGTACTAGCAATAATCACTTACCTGTCTGTGTCTCTAATCTCAAAACTTTCAGCAATCCATCCTCACCACCACAAGCTATGAACCCTTGGTCCTTGTTCCAGGAAATGCATTTTAGCTTCACATTATTGGGAACAGCAATCTGTAACAAGAATCGCACTGATGCCAGCTGCTTTTCACAGAGGAGTTGGGAAGGTCACCAACCAGGAGATGTAGAACATCTTCCAAGAAGAAACCTGCATGAACCTGTTGTAGCCCATGCTGACAATCCCAACGCTTGGGAGACTGAAGCAGGAGGATCTCAAGTTGGATGCCAGCCTGGACTACAAAGCAATAACCTGTCTCAAAAAAGGAGGATGAAGGGAGCGGGGGAGAAAGAGTAACACCAGCGGAGGGCGGGGTGGGGGATGAGCTATTATGAAAATATGGTGTGGTCTCCTCAAAAGTTCCAGGTTCTAGTATTCGGTAAAGAGGTGCACATAAGGGAAGGAGAGTGATTGCCTAGGAAGCCAGGGGAGGGGAAGATCACCCTCATGGATTCTATAAATGCGGGAACCAAGACGTAAATCTGTATCACTGCTCTTCCTCCCTTTCTCCCCACACAACACTTATAATTTCTTTCCTCTGGCGGGGCAGCCTGTGGTCATCTATCTTTTAGATCAACAAGTGGCCGAGGAAAGACCCAGCAGCGCCTGGTGGTCACGGTCCACCACTCAAACGAGTTTAGGAAAGACAGGAATGTGAAAGGATCCTGAAAGAAAGCTCAACAAATGACTACCGGGACTCAGAAACCCGCTGGAGGAGACAGGTGACTGGGAGGTGGAAAAGTAGCTAGAGAGCCGTCTGCAGTCCCGGGAGGATGCGCACCGGCGGGCTACGATAACGGAGGCGCGCGATGGCGGGCCCCGGGGAAACTCACTTTCTTGCTCAGATAGAAGAACATCGTAGGAACTCGGAGAAGACCACCCTCAGCGGTCAAGACCTGCAATATATAACGGGTTCTACACCTCCATTCGCGAGCACCAGTGGCTAGGAGAAGCTCTCGCCGCCGGGCACCCGCCGCTACTCAGTCGCATCCGGGGCGCTTAGAGAACTTCCGGTGTGGCCCTCCAGCCCGACGCTGGTTGCCATGCGCCTGCGCGGGTGATGGGTTGCTGTGCAATACGCATGGGGCGAGGTCTGTGGGTTCTGCGCTGCCATTGGGTCTGTTCCATCTTGGCTAGAGACCCGGTTAGCACCCTGCCCCCCGTGTGCGCCCCGAGTGCCCTGCTACCCCCCCCCCCTGCCACTCGTGTGCGCCCCCAGCGACCTGCCTTCGCCCCGGTCACCCACGCCGCTATGCTACACCGCCACGCGTCACCCAGACAGGCGCGCCTCAGGTGTCAGTATAAACTAAAGAATGGAGCCCCTTCCCAAAAGGTCTTGAGAAGTCTGTGTTTTCTAATTCCCCAGCCCCCACCCCTGCCCAATAACTTTGAAAGGAAAAGTCTCTTGCTGCATTTGATAGGCTGCGCCATCCAACAAATAAATGGCAAAATAAATGTGCATTTTGATGACTGCCTTCTCCTTTGAGGAAAGGAACTGCAGAACCCCAGCAAGAAGTTGGGGAGTAGATGCTATTTTTTTTTTGCTTTGGAATCTGGCTTTGGGTTTCTATTGCTGGGACGAAACACTGTAACCAAAAAGCAAGTTAGGGAGGAAAGGGTTTATTGGGCTTACACTTCCACTTTGCTGTTCATCACTGAAGGAAGTCAGGAGAGGAACTCAAACAGGGCAGGAGCCTGGAGCTGATGCAGAGGCCTTGGAGGGGTGCTGCTTCCGTGGCTTACTCAACCTGCTTTCTTATAGAACCCGGGACCACCAGCCCAAGGATGGCACCACCCACCACTGGCTGGACCCTCCTCATCAATCACTATTTCAGAAAATGCCTTACAGCCGGATGTTACAGAGGCGTTCTTTCAGTTAAGGTTCTCTCCTTTCTGATAACTCTAGTTTGTACGTCAAGCTGACATAAGACCAGCCAGCACAGAATCCCTGAAACATCTTACAGATCTCCAGGACCCTTGTAAAGGGGTATGTATAACTTTGGGTCATTAAAGCTATCATTGCACTGGAGCATACCCTCTCGTTTAAAAATATTTGAGCTGTTGGGATTTTTCTGTTCAGGGAGCAATTTTTCTTAATTTTTTGTACATCTTCCCTGATCGTGTGGCGGGGGCATATACATGTGGAGCTCAGAGATCCACATCATGTGCCACCGTCTATACCTCTCCTAAGGCAGGATCTCTCAATAAACTTGGAACTTAAAATTTGGGCTAGACTGCCCAATCAATGAACTCCGGGATCACTTACTCCACACTCCCAATCCTGCGGTTACAGGTGCACCACAGCTAACCAGGTTCTTAAAGATGTTGGGGATCCAAACACAGGTAGTCAAGTTTGCAGCGTTTTATCCAATGAGCCATTTTCCCACGCGCTCCCCTTCCCCACCCCCACCCCATCCCTCACTCATCCCCACTCCCACACCCCCGCCCTCGCCTTTCTCCCTTTTGGAATGGAAACCTGAATGTTAACAAAGTCTCCAAATCTAGAAGATTAAGTAGAGCCATTCCTGTAGAGTTACTTGTTCTCACCAAATAGCTTTCTATTATTTATGGTCTTTTTATTGTTTATGATTTTCCTTTTTATCTTAATCTGCAGCTATCAATATTGGTTTATATAATATAGTATGTGCTGTACAGAAGTGCCAATTTCCCCACTGGAGTCTTCCCCCATCCCTAGCACGCAACGTTTGCCTTTGAACTCAGGCTATTATCTCATTATTTCTAGAATTTAAGAGTCCTGGGTGTTTTTGCCTTCAGTATGGAAGGCCAAAACAAAAACAAAAAAAAAAACAAAAAAAAAAAAACAAAAAACCTAGAAATGCATCTACCATATTATCCAGCCATGCCACTATTGGGTACATACCCAAAGAATCCAAGACAACATAAAATAGAAATGCCTGTTCGTGCATATTTAACACAGCATCATTTGCAATAGACAACTGTTGAAATCAGACTAGGTGCCCATCAATGGATAAAGAGATGGCATGTATACACACCGAATTATTATTCAGCCATCAAGAAGATAATATCATTTGCAGGAACGCAGATGGAACTGAAAATCATGTTAAGTGAAATAAGCCAGAAAGACAAGTATGGCATGATTTCTCTCATTTGTGGAATGGGGGAGATGGGCACAAAAATAGCAAGGTGAGTTTTAGATAAGAGGAAGAGAAAGGGCAGACGGATAATACAAGAGTGGACATAGGAAATAGAAGTGGTTGTGATCAAAGTGCATTCATCCTATGGATGACTAAAAATATTGTGTAAGGGGCTGGCAAGGTGGCTCAGCAGGGAAAGGCACCTGCCTCCAAGACTGATGACCTGAGCTGTACTCCTGGAAAACAAGTGGTGGAAGGAGAGAACCAATTCCAAAAATTTGTCCTCAGACTTCCACATGTGCACTGTAGCATGGCACAAGAAAACCCATACACTCATAAACACACACACACACACACACACACACACACACACACACACAGACACACACACACACTAAAGTACACACAAAAATTTATAATTAAAATTTTCACGATTTTATTTAGGAACTTGCCAGTTTACCCTGAACTGACAGACATTTTAAGCCTCAGCAGTGTGAGATTAAATTATTGAAAGGGTATCATTATTTTGGTCTTTCTGTTTCTCAACTGTTATGTACTCAAGAATTACTAATTCAGTTCTTTTTTTCTTTTCTTTTTTTTCTTTTTGTTTTTTGAGACAGGTTTTCTCTGTGGCTTTGGAGGCTGTCCTGGAACTAGCTCTTGTAGACCAGGCTGGCCTTGAACTCACAGAGATCCTCCTGCCTCTGCCTCCCCAGTGCTGGGATTAAAGGCGTGTGCCACCACTGCTGGTCAGTTCTTGTTATATAGAAAATATAACAAGAATCACCAAAAAAATCAGCCATGACATTAATGTAGAAAGACTGGAACTTTTATTATATTAAAAACAATACAAACCAAAACAAATGAAGTAGCACAAAGTTTAAAGAATTGCTTTATTCCAAAAGTTATAAGCTGCAATTAAAAAGTACATGTTATTAGGTATAGTTTGAGTGAAAAAATTTATAGACTGATTTCAAACATTTTTAAAAAGGTAATATTATATCTTGTTGCTTGTTACACTAATTTTATAAATCTATAATTTTGCCAATTACATGCTAAAGCAAAATGATAGAATTCAAGATTTTTCCCCCTTGGAAAAAATCTTTGCACCCTAAGTTTTCATCCATTTCTCTTTAGTTATTCGTTTTTATGGCCTTAATGAATTAAAAGTGCCATGTAACATTCACTTAACCTCTGTAAATTATTTGTAGATACATATATTATAATCCCATGGTTGTTTTATATTGTTTATCACATTATAATCCCTTTGATAATATTTTAGCAAAAAACAAAAGTATTAAACAATTCTAAATATATTCATCTCAGTTTAATTATTTGAACTTTTATATGTAAATATTCCATAAAATCTGCACTCTCAATAGTAAGGCTAGTTTGTATTATAAATATGACCAAGCAAAAAGAGGTGGAAAGGTTTATGAATATGATTGTCTTATTAATATAAACATTTATAACTTACATGGCTCTATCAGGAGATAACAAAACATTAAACTTTTCACTTTTCATCTTATTATTTCACAGTCATATCTCAGAGGCATTAAAGTGTGCTCTTTATATGGGTCTGCACATCTATTCCCTTGAGCAATGATACTGATGCTCCAGGAAACCCTCATACGGTCTCCTGAATAATGGTCAAGCATTTATAATGGCAGATTATTAGCAGGAACGACGGAGATAAGTATTGCATATGCCAAGCACTCCACATTTCCAGGCGAGAATTTTTGAGCCGTTTAACGATGCACTTGTCCATATTCAGTTCACTTGCAACCTCTTCAAAATGGTGTCAAGTGACTAGATGTTAAGGCCAAAACGACTTATTTTTACACATTAGAAAATATAAGCACACTTTCAAACACTTCACCACAAAAGAAAATTATGGCCAACTACAAGTGAATAAAATTATTTTCTCATCAAAAGCCTAATCTAGCTGGGCGTTGGTGGCGCACACCTTTAGTCCCAAGCACTCGGAAGCCAGACGCAGGCAGATCTCTGTGAGTTCGAGGCCAGCCTGGTCTCCAGAGCGAGTGCCAGGATAGGCTCCAAAGCTACACAGAGAAACCCTGTCTTGAAAAAACAAAAAACAAAAAACAAAAGCCTAATCTAAAATTCAAAAATTCATCATGAAATTACACTCCTGCAGAGATCTTCAGGTTTTTTTTTTTTTTTCTACTCCAAAATTGAATTGGAACAACATCTCTCAGTGGGGAGTAAAGCTTATGAGGTCTTGGTTGAAGGAGTTGTGGAACTGTCCCTTGGTTTGGCTTTCTGCAGAGTTGACGTTTCTAGGAAATAGACCAGGAGAAGAGGGAAGAGAAACATGTCTTCCGTGTGTGGTGAGGAGAATGGCAATACTAATCTGGGAAGAGTGAAGACTGGCTGACCACAAAGACTTGGAAACTGATTCCTCTATGCTGCCCATAACCTCTTTCAAAGTCTGACTCCCAAGTCATGCCTACCCCCATCTAAATTCCATCCCTCTGAGGTATATAAGAATAGTTGTTAAAGTTGGGCAATGCTGAGACAAAGCTCTTTTCCAGAACTGGTGCTTGTAGTACTGACCAAAATTTGCAAGACAGTGTCATGTTACAGTTTGAAAACCATCTCTTGACATATTGACTTACCAAATTGCATAACCATGTGTCATCTGAGGTTTAACATCTGATAGATTCCCTGATTATTTTCTGGACATAGGAAGATTTTGAGCTAAGAGTTACTTTAAAATGGGCTGGAGATATGGCTCAGTAGTTAACAGCACTGGCTGCTCTTCCAGAGGACCAAAGTTCAATTCTCAGCACCCACATGGCAGCTCACAACTATCTGTAACTCCAGTTCCAGAGGATCTGACACCTTCACACAGATATACAAAGAGGCAAAACACCAATGCACATGAAATAAAAATTAAATTAAAAAGGTTAAAAGTTACTTTAAGGAATCATAGTTTAGTTGCTCTGTTATGTTAGAGCTCAACCGGGCACATAAATTGCTATTTAAAAGCACTACAGAGCTGTACGGTGGTGGCACAAGCCTTTAATGCCAGTACTTGGGAGGCAGAGGCAGGCCGATCTCTCTGAGTTCAAGAGCAGCCTGCTCTACAGAGTGAGTTTCAGGACAGCCAGGGCTGTTGTTACACTTGTTACATTAGAAACCCTGTCTCTAAAAACGGAAGGAAGGAAGGAAGGAAGGAAGGAAGGAAGGAAGGAAGGAAGGAAGGAAGGAAGGAAGGAAGGGCATTAGGGAAAGAAATATGTAGTTTTTACATTTAAATGTTGAATGAGTAAAAATGATCTATTGTACTATTGAAAAAGAACTCTGTATTCTTTTCAAATGCATTGCTAATGCTTAACTTACAGCAATGAATAAGATACTTGCTAGTAGAATATCCTAAAATGTTTAGCTCAGTTGTAGCATCTAGGTTGGCTTCTAGAAGCCACAGCCAAAGCTTTAGTACAATGTTTTTTGCAGTACAATTAAAGTGTCAGTCAGAAATTGAAATTTACAAATAAAATTTTACAAGAAGACAGGGCCTGGATTGTACCATAGTTGGTAAGAGTGCTTGCTTAGCCTGCATGAAGCCCTGGGTTTAATCCCCAGTACCTCATAAAACCAGGCTTGGTGCTACACACCTATAATCCCCACACTTGGGTGATGGAACTAGCAGGACCAGACATTCCAGGTTATCTTCATCCTCATAGCAAGTTTGAGGCTAGCCATGACTATATGAGACCTTGTCTCAAAAAAGAGAATGAAAAAGAGGGAGATGAGGAAGAGGGAGAGGAGGAAGAGGGAAAAAACCTTCCAGAAAGGATATGTTTGGTGTTCAACTTCTGGAGATGGGAGCTGACCTTCTCCTGGAATGCCAGTGTGGCTTCACAGCCACAAGCATCTTCTATGGAGATGAGGCTTCTTGCTTCCTCAATGTCTGAAGACAATGACAATACACAAAATGTTATAGCTAACCAGGGATTGCAACGAAGTGGGGGCTGAGGGTGTGGAACACCTGCCTAGCACAAGAGGCAAATTAAAGGAACGACAGGAAATCTACAATTCATGTCAATACTGCCACTTATGTGAAAGAGTTTTCCAGGAAGTAAAGTCATCTAAGAGCAAACAGAAAAGAGAAATTATTTGCTAAAGTTAATTTCACAGAAAACTTTATTAGGAAACACTGGGGAAATGCTTGTATTTGTCAAAATTGAGGGATGCTTATATGAAAGTTCTTTGTATTTTTCTTCATGCTTTCTGTTATTGTCAGAAATCAGCCATGATATAAGGCTTTTTAAAGGTGGTTGGTGAAGGTCAACGCCCCCACGTCAGCAGGAAGCAGTCTTGAGAATTTAACGCCTTTATTCCTTAACCTGCCATGTCTAACACCCCACCCTTTTTTTTTTTTTTAATAATAAGTAGAGGTGGGAATGGAAAAAAAAAGTGGTTGGTGAAGCCAGAATCACCAGGAGGTGGCACATGCCTTTAATCCCAGCACTCAGAGGCAGAGACAGGCAGATCTCTGTGTGTTCAAGGTCAGCCTGGTCTACACAATGAGTTCTGGAACATCCAGGTGGTTACACAGAGAAACCCTGTCTCAAACAAAAATAAAAACAAACAAACAAAAAAAATCAAGGGAAGAAAGAAAAAAGGAAAAGAACAGTCCTCCAATCCTATTGGTTTCCTTAAGGAATGGATGGACATGAGAATGATTATTATCTATTTGTATAACCAAAATACTTCAAAGATTAAAACTAGGTAACTCCTGATTTCCTACAAAGGATTGCTATTCTTTTTTTGTTTTGTTTATTGAGACAGGGTTTCTCTGTGTAGCTTTGGAGCCTATCCTGGCACTTGCTCTGGAGACCGGGCTGACCTCGAACTCAGAGATCCGCCTGCCTCTGCCTCCCAAGTGCTGGGATTAAAGGCGTGGGCCACCACTGCCTGGCTGAAGATTGCTATTATATTGTATGATTTGAATTGAGAAGTGTAATTTTACCCTTACATACTTTGGAGCTAAAAATTCAGAGCTATATTGGTGGCCAACCTGGATAACCTCGTGTGTGTGTGTGTGTGTGTGTGTGCGCGCGCGCGCGCGCGCATGCGTGCGTGTGTAGGCCAGGGGTCAGTGTGTTCTTTTATCACTGCCCCCTTTATATTCTGAGACAGATGCCCTCACAACCTGGAACTCACTGATTGGCCAGCAAGCCCACAGCATTCTGGGATTGCAGGCATGCACCCCCACACCTGGCTCTTTAGTGGGTGCCTGGGATCTGAACCCACATCTCCATTTTCCATCAGCTGTCTCCCCAGGCCCTGTTTAATTTTTGAAGCAGGGTCTCAGACAGCCCATGGTGGCTTGAACTACTGATCCTCCTCCTGCCCATCTGGCCAGAAAGCATCTGCCAAAATCAGCCACATGTGATCATCTAGTACAGAGAACAACCAGCCCAGTGTTTGTGCTACGGACACTAAGATCTGTGAAGCCACATGCTCACTGGGATATTTTACTAAAACACCCCTTAGAAAATTATAGAGCAGAGCTATAGCAAAACTGAAATTTGACAGAGAGAGAGAGAGAGAGAGAGAGAGAGAGAGAGAGAGAGAGAGAGGGAGAGAGGGAGAGAGGGAAAGAGAAAGAGAGATTCATTCACAATAACATAAAAAGAATAAAATACTTAGGAACGTTTTCATGTATATGACTTGTACACTGAAAATTACAACACTGTTGAAAGAAATTAAAGAAAACGTACACAAGTGGAAAGGCACGCACAGTATTGAGTGAACTGAAAGTTTGTTAAAGTGGCAGTGCTCCCCTAAACTGATCTAAGGCTGGCTATGAAAGTCCCCATTGACATTTGGGGAGCACTTCCCCCATTGACAAGTCCCCAGGGGAGTGGGAAACATCAATCACTGTCCCATGAGTGCAGAGCTTTAAATAGGAAAGTCGAAAAGATTCTGGGGATGAACTACTGATCATTAACACAGAGTTGTACATTTGAAAATGGTTGGGATGGGAAATTTGCTGTTATGCATTTTTATCACAATAGCAGAAAATGAATTTAGAGACATTAATTAGAAAGAAAAAAATGAAAGAGAATGGGATCAAATTACAGAAAGCAGACTGTAGCAGAAGAGGACAGTAACTCAATATGATAAAACTTTTTTTTTAAAGTAGCTTCCTCCTAGATTTTCCCCTTGAACAACATCTAGTCAAAGGGCCAGTCTTCACCTGAACATGTCTTCTTGTCATCATTCAAGGTGTAGCCAGGGAAACAATCACAGTGGTAGGATGATGCCCCATCGCTCACACAGATGTGCTGACAGCCATGTGTGCCCAGAGCACACTTGTTTCGGACTGACCCAAACCGTGCAGGAAAGAAAATATTTACCCGTTAGTTAAATAGAACACTAAACACAAACTTCAGTAATACAAACCTTTGCTGGCCCCAGCCAGCACTGAGAATGAAGCCTTCAGGAGTCACCCAGAGCCCCGTGTTCCAGCAATAAGAAATGGCTTCCTTCCCTACATGGTTACACCATTGACCTCATCTGCTACCTAGCCATTCCTTCCCTTTGCACTCCTGCAGCTGCCTGTGGGGACTTCTCTTCTCTCCTGCTCATTATACTGGATGGCACTGACTCTTAATGGTAGTACAGAGTTTACCATAGGCATTTCTGAAACCTATCAATTTATATTGTCACCAGAAATAATAGACTAGGGAGCCTGTGGTGGTTAATCTAGATACCCTGATTGAATCTAGAATCACTGGGGTCATGTCTGTGAAGGAGATTCTAGATTGTGTTCATTGAGATAAAAGAAGTCACTATAGATATGAGTGACACCATTACTGTGGGCTGGGGTCCAGAACTGAACCTAAAATAAGAAGGCTCCCTGAACGTCAGCTATCATCTCTCTCTGCTTCCTAACTATCAGATCCAATGGGACCAGCTGCCTCAAGCTCCTACTACTGTGACTTCACTGCCATAATGAACTGTACCCTCATACTGCTGCCATAATGGACTGTACCCTCAAACTGCTGCCATAATGGACTGTACCCTCAAATGTGAACAGAATAAGCCCTTTGTTCCTTCCCTCTCTCCCTCCTTCTTTAAGTTGCTTTCGTCGGGCATTTTGTCACAGCAATGAGGCAAATAACCAATACAGACATCACTGTATGCAGAGCTAAGTTTGATCACACATACACACACACACACACACACACACACACACCACAGAGGACTATATTGCCAAAAGACCAATCACTGACACCTTATGATGAGACAAAAAAAAAAAAAAAAAAAAAAAAAAAAAAAAAAAAAAAAACTAATTAACTGGACACTAACGTTCTTTCACTTTCTCTCTCCCTTCCCCCCTTTCTCATAGGAAAAAATAAATAATAAGATTAATGATGATACACTCAATTAAATACAGAAGTACTTTCATTTATCACATAAATAGCATTTTGGAGATTAAGATCACTTGCCCAAACTTGAGTGGAGAACAGAGGAAAGCACTACACCGCTCTTGTGTCCAATGGCCTAGACAAGTGAAAATAACTTAGTGAACCCAGAAAGACTCCCAAGAAATACAGATTCTCCTCTGCCATTACAAGGGTCAAAGCACTGTACTTGTTCCCAGTCTTCTACTGATCATAGCCCTCCTGCTTCCATCTCTGTAGTGAATGGGATTAGAAGCCATTTCTGGCCTGATTTCATTTCTTAAAGAGGGGAAGAGGCAGACATGGTGGTACCCATACACTCAACATGCAGTAACACCAGCACTTAGGGTTATTGCAAGTTGAGGCTCAATGGGCTTCATAGAGAGTTCCAGGAGAGCCTGGGCTGCAGGAGACACTATCTCACAAAAAAAAAGAAAAAGAGAAGAGAAGAGAGGAGGGGAGGAGAGGAGAGGGGAAGGAAGGAGAGGAGAGGAGAGGAGAGGAGAGGAGAGGAGAGGAGAGGAGAGGAGAGAGGAGAGGACAGGAGGAAAGAAAAACAATAAAGGGATCCAGTGATGCACTATTCCCTTCCATTTATCTTGACAAGATCCCACCACGTCTAGTTCCCCGAAGAAGCAAAGCAGATGGAGCAAATCTGAAAAGCTCTAATGTACCAAACTCAGCAGCACCTTGAGAGCAAAGAATGCCTCTCCTTACAGAGAGCTTTGATGTGTACAAATGCTGCCCTGTTCTACCAGTGAGCTTAAATCAAATTAATGAGGATTAATGGTCCCGGCAGGGGCTCGTTAGCCAAGTCACAAGGCCCCAAGTCACTGAAGATTGATCAGCTAGAAACAGTCAAGAATGTCCCTGCTTCCAACACCTTGGAAGACCTGTGTGGGTCTAAGCCAACCCTTCACAAAGTTTCCTTTGCTAAAAAGAATCCAGCTTAAAGATCAACACTACAGAAAAGTCCCAGGCCAAGTTTTAACTGGAAAAAGATCAGTTCAACCTATCACCCCAAATAATTACTGGCCAGCTGACTTCCTCTATTCACTTAAAAAGTCCCCAGTGTGCATCTAAAATTTTTCCTGGGTGGGGACCCCACATTTCATTAGCTTTTCTCATATTTCTCATTCCTTACCCACTTCCCAGTAATTTTCTGCAATAATCTACGTTTGTAAAAGCCAGTGAGCTCACCAACCCAACTGGGCAATGTGTCTAAAAGTGTAAGCTGGTCAGACGCCTGAGCCGGAGTCTTTAAGTCGTCTCCCCAGCCCCCCACCCCCGCCGCAGGAACCTTCTCTCCTGGCAAATTGCAGGTTGATTTCACCACTATAGAAACAGTCAAGCAGGGAAAGATTGTGGAAAGGGTTTTACCTGAACAAGTTTTCTTATCTGCATTCAGAGTATAGCCCTCAAAGCATTCACAGTGATGGGACCCGGCTCCGTCATTCACACAAATGTGCTGGCAACCATGTGTACCCAAAGCACATTTGTCCTGAGCTGTTAGACAGAAGCCCAAGAGTGAAAACTTAAAATTAAAACTCAAAGAGTCTTTTATTCCCCATAGATATAAACATGCGTAAAAACAGCAAGAAATATATGAGGGGGAAGCTGCCTGGAGGCTGGGCAAAGCTGTCAGCATTATTTGCTCTAACTAGAAATTAGCAGAGTTAATAAAATCCTTCACACATGATAATTATTCTTCAATTTATACTCACTTCTTCTTTCAATATCATCAATGTTGAGGTTTTTTTTTTAATAACCCAAGCATCTCATTAACACAATGCATTCCTTTTAGGTTTGTTGTACTTAATCCAACCCAGAAATAAACTAGCCAATTATGCAGCTAATTACACTAGATCCATGGGAAAGGGGGGTTTGAAGAAATTCTATTAACATTCGGTTTCATAAATAAGGTACAAGAGTCCCGAGGGGGACCAACTAATTTAGGGTGGAGTGAGAGTCTTAGACCTGGTTCTTCATTCAGTGTACTTCCCTGTGAGAGATAAATGAATAGACAACCGCTAGGTAGGTAGACAAATAGATAATACATATAGAAAGACAGATTCACAGTAGAGATACATATTTGAGTTGTTTTGTTTTTTTAAACAGGGTCTTACTATGTAGCCGAGGCTGGTGTGAAACTGCAGGCATGGATAACCATACCCAGAAAAAAGGGAAGAGACTTGTATTGACATATTTTTAACTATTTTGGTGGGAAAAGATTGAGACATAGTCTCATCTATATAGCCCAAGCAGGCCTGGAATTTACTACAGTGACACTCCTGACTCTGCCACCTAAGTGCTGGGGTTATAACCATGAGCTAGCATACCCAGATTTAATCTATTTTTTTAACTTGTAAAATTTCACTTTTAAGGCAAGTTCAGGCTTTTGCAAAACTTATTTCCTCTATTCCCAAATGATAACAATTTAGGTGTCTATTATGATAACCAAAAACATCGATACAGCATGATTTCTTAATCTCCACTCAATATTCAGATGTTCCTAATTCTTCTCCTAATATCCATTTTCTGGTCCGGTATCAAATCCAAGATCCCACATGACATGAAGTTGTCATACTCTGAGACATTTCTTTGGTCTATTGTAGGCATCTTGTCAGTGAACTTGTAATGGTGGCCATACCTCCTTGGGCGTGGCCTCAGGCTGATGGAAGCAAAAGAGAGGCCTGACTTTTCCTGGGTCGCTCTTTCTGGTAGATCAGCAGATCAGGTAGGAAGGGCACGAAATGCTCCCGTGGTTCTTTGCATTTTTCTGTGTAATTGTTCCCCAGTAAACACCCATGTATCATTTATCTTGGGTTTAGTGTTTTTACGGCTATGGCATATTTGAGAAGTACTAGAAAACATGGTGGGTCTGTCTGAGGTTTCCTCATGGTTCTAAATGTTTAGCAAGAATGTGCCAACTGTGCTACTACATCACATGAGGCTATCAGTGAGGGAGGAAGCAGTCTCTGTCCATACAGCGTCTCTAAAAGACAGGGGACATGCCAAGTGCAAACGGCTCCTGGGCTGCTTGAGCATACCTGTGTCTCTGGTATTCTAGACACAGATAATGGCATCCCAGCACACAGGAAACCCACAGAATGGCACTGAGCCCAGGGCATTGCCTGCTTCCTGCCCTTTGTCCACAGACACACTGCCAGGACATGCTGTCCCTCATGTACACCCTTACATGACACAGGTTGCATGACATTCGGGCTCATTAAACAATACACCATGTGTCCTTAAGCTAATTGGATGATATATGTGTATGTGAGAGTGAACTTCCGAATTAAACTAGATCTGCACCTCATGCCGGTCTCCGAAGTCTGCTTCCCCAGGAACTCATTGTGACTCTGCAGCCCTCACCCAACAAGCAGCCAGAGCAGCTCCCCACAAGTGAGGTCACCTCTAATGATGTAAAGGTAGGTCCCTTATTACTTCGTAAAGTATCTGCCAGGTTCCTCACTATAGAATCTCTGTCTCTCTGTACTCCCACCCATTTCTGTTTTTTTTCATACCGAATTTAGAAACAGAAAATCCAGCTGGCCAGAGGTGGTGCATACCTTTAATCCCAGCACTCAGGAGGCAGAAACAGATGGATCTCTCTGAGTTTGAAGCCAACCTGGTCTACAGAGAGCATTCCAGGACAACCAGGGCTACATGAAGAAACCCTGTTTCAAAAAGAAAGAAAGAGAGAAAGAAAGAAAGAGAGAGGGGGGAAGGAGGGAGGGAGGGAAGGAAGGAAGGAAGGAAGGAAGGAAGGAAGGAAGGAAGGAAGCAAGGAAGGAAGGAAGCAAGCAAGGAAGGAAGGAAGGAAGGAAGGAAAGAGAAACAGAAAAAGCCCCAGGGTGGCAAAAGTGGAAAACTGACCAAGTTCCCAGCTGTATGCTTCCCATTCAACACGAGGTAGGTTGGCAGGTGAATACATACACAGCCCACTCACCTGCACAAGTTGCCCTGTCTGCATTCAAGGTGTAGCCTTCATAGCATTCACAGTGGTATGAGCCATTTCTGTCATTCACACAGATCTGTTCACATCCATGAGTGTTGAGGGCACACTTATCAACAGCTGTCAAAAGATGATCATGGCAAGTGTGAACATACAGAAAGGAGGTAAACAAACTCTTACCAGTCACATTATCACACACACACACAGAGGGAGTGGGCACAGACACTGATAGATTTTGGATCCTACTCTCTGGTCCTGTTCCTTCACCAACAGACCCACTAATACATATACCTCTTCCTTTATTTTGCATCTCAATTTCCTTACCTATAAACTTAATAGTTTGAACTAAATGATGTCTGTTTTCTTCACAAAAACACTCCTGGGATTAAAGAGAAAAAAATCTAATTGCTATTCTTCATTGACTCTGTGTGGTGTTTAGACACCACTGAGCAAGGCCTGCAGTATTTCTCTCTACTTCCATTGCCCATGAGTGTGTACTGTCATAGGCAGGAATTGGGATGTTTGTATCTAATGAAATAAAACCCAGGAAAAATGTCAGCTCTCCCAAAGGATCAAGAGTATTGGATCCTAGCGCTGGAGAGTTGGTTCACTGGCTAAGAAGACTGGCTGCACTTCCAAAGACCCAAGTTTGATTCCCAGCATCCAATGGCAGCTCACAACTATATATAACTCCAGTACCAGAGGACCCAGTGCCTTCTTCTGGCCTCTGTAGAAACTGCATGGATATGGCGTACGTGTGTGCCCGTGTCTGTCTCTATGTATGTCTAATACTCAAAAAATGTTTTAAGTTAATATATACATTTAAAAAATAAAGGATGGTGGTTATGCACAACTTTAATCCCAGCACTTGGGAGTCAGAGTCAGGCATAGCTCTGTGAGTTCAAGGCCAATCTGGTCTACAGGGAGAGTTCCTTGACATCTAGGGCTACACAGAGAAACCCTGTCTCAAAAAAACAAAAAGTAAAGTAAAATAAAGGAAATGTTTTTTAAGAGGTTTTGATCCCTTCTTTCTCACAATTCCTTTTATTAGTGTTTTAAGAACAATAACAATTGTAAGGACCTTAAGAACTATAACTCAGAGACTTGCACATCCATATTTACAGCTACTCTATTCAGAAGCCAGGAACTGGAACCTGCCTAAACGTTCATCAGCTGATAGATACATAAAGAAAACGTGGTACAGATGCACAATGGGATCTTAACACAGATGTACAGAAAACTGAAATCATGATTTTCTCAGGAAAATGAATGTAACTGGAAATCCCTAAGTTAAGCAAGAGGGGGAAAAGATTCAGAAAGATACCAAATGTTTTGTTTCATATGAGGAATCTACTAAAATCAGATGTGGGTGTTTGTACATCACAGAGCTAGAAAGGGGTTCATGAGAGAAAAGGAAGAGCTCTTAAAGGCGGCAAGAAATAGAGAGAGGGTAATGCAATAAATGTAATAGGGAAACAGAGCGAAGGAAACTGGGAGGAGGAAGGGAACAAATTAAGGGAAAGGGGGCACTGAGAAAGACAGCAGGAGGGAAAATGAGAACAAAGTATAATGACACATACATGTGAAGATGCCATGATAAAAACCTATTTGTATACCAGCCTAAAACATTAATTTTTAGAAAAAGAAGAGGCCAAAGAGACAGCTCAGTGTTTATGGGGACATACTGCTTTTGCAAAGAATCTACATTTTATTCCTAACAACACAGGCAGCACCTGTAACTCCAGCTCCAGGGGGCACCTCTGGGCTCCTTGGGTACCTGCATTCGCATGCACACACCCACATACAGACATGCACGTAATTTAAATTTATCATATTCTATTTATTTAATTATTAATTTACTTGTTTTGGCTTTTCAAGACAGAGTTTCTCTGTGTAGGCCTGGCTGATCCAGAACTCATTCCGTAGACCAGGCTGGCCTCGAACTTGGAGATCCACTACCTCTGTCTCCCAAATGCTGGGATTAACGTTGTGCACCACCACCGCCCAGCATAATTTTTTTTAAGAATAGTAACAAGGCTAGCACTAGGCTTCCCTGAGTAGGTTCTCCCTTTTCTCTAATGTTCTCTATCAAGAAAAGCTGCTGAACAGCGCTAAACCCACCAGAAGGCACTGGGAAGAAAGAGGTTGAAGTCAACGCCTAAGAAAAAAAAATCCACCCCTGGAGAAGAGACATCAAATAGCTTCTGTTCCATCACTATGCCCCAAGGAAGCCTTACCCGAACATGTTTTCTGGTCGGCATTCAAGGTGTACCCTTGGCTGCACTCACAGTGGTGCCTGCCATTGCCATCACTGATGCACACATGCTGGCACTGGTGTGTGCCAAGCACACACGGGTCCAGAGCTAGGCAAAGAAAGAACATGCACAATGGTTATTTACATCTATACCTAAGAACCATTTTAGATACTTCCATTCCAAGACACTGCCTCCAGGTTTCTTTCTGACTTCATTTTTACTTCACTATTTAAAACAGGGGGAGGGGAGAGACACTTCTTTCTGCCTCTGGGTTATTAAATATTTGAGACATTGCAAATTTATAATTATTGATCTTGCTGTGCCATCTCTCAGATTCAGAAAGGGAATTCTGAATTTGGAGTTGCTGCAATCAAACATTTTCACCTGTCAGGCAACTTGATGTTTTATATGGGCAAATTGTGTCCCCATGAAACAGATTCTTGCCTTGCAACTGTAAAAGCAGTGGAGAATAATAATGTACTGTCAAGAGTGCTATGAGCTAGTCGGCCCAGTGTAGCTGAAAACTGGTTTGCAACAGTACCACATTTTGTGCCTGAAGGGAACTGGACCACAAGCATGCCTATCAGCCCAGAACTGACTCATACTTGGGCAGTGATGTGCTTGAGCATGCAAATAGTACAAAGCCATCCAGCCAACAGCACCTTCTGCCTGTCCATCACATATCCAGAGCCCAGATATCTACTTGGGTTCTTAGTGTCTTTGAAGACAATGGGTTCAAATTATAAATCCAAAGAGATAAAAAAAAAAGGAAGGCATGAGATTATGCCAGCTAAATTGTATCTCCAACTTTTTACTCCTGGAAAAATTTTATCTCGTTGGAATGAACACACACACACACACACACACACACACACACACACACACACAGTGACGTGTTTTAGAAGATGAATCAATGAATGTAGTCATTTCTACAAAACCAAGGCCTGTGAGAGGAGACTAACTCTCCTGTAGCAGGTAACCCAGCCTCCAGTACCCTTGGCAATAGCACAAGGCTAATATTTTCCCAAGGAGTGCCTTTTCGTGCAATGATCTTTCCAGCACATTGACTACAACAAGCTGCCCCTCAGTTTTTTTTTCCCAGAGGGGACATCCCCCCACCCCCCAGAACAAGCGGTGCTTTTGTAAGAGAAGGAAAAGATTGCCACTCACCACTATTACTTTACAGTTTGGAGCCCACCCCCAGTTGCTAACTTTAAAACCCTGTGTAACCACAGACCATAGCCTTGACGGAAGAGCTCTCTCACCCACAGCTTGAGGGGGTTTTCTGGGAAAAAGAAAAAAAGGCACTTTCTTTCTAGAACCTAATAAATGCCAAGTAGTTGCCATCATAGCCAATGGTGTCTTGTGAAAGCCTAGTGTCCCGGGACATGGAAGACAAGGGGATCTCAGCCAGGTCTGGCTGCAATGAGGCCAAGATTTCATCTACCATTTCCCAACCAACTGATGATCCTAGGTTCCACATTCATTTAGATATAATGTCTCATTGATATTTGCAGCTGTAGTCACTGGCTCACTTACTTGTCTTTTCCACCAACTCCACAAGGGTATCTGAAGGCTGGGAAGAGCTACCTTTGACTTTGTATGTGGTGGCTTTGTATGTGGAGGTCACTATGAATAGACACAGAATGTACATGACACCAAGTGTCTATGCTGAGGAATTCACCTAAATTGGAATGGTGTCCACACTCCAACACTGCCATAGGGCTCAAATGATCATCTCCAACTGATTTTTTAAAACAGAACTCCCACAAACCATAATTCTATTTTCTAAAGTTTTTAATATAGATTTCTGTTTTCTTTTTCTTTTTAATGGCATGGTCTCATGGACAGGCTGACCCCAAACTCAGGATATAACTGAGACTGGCCTTGAACTCCACCTCTGCAGTGCTTGGGGTTATAGGCATTACCATCACACCCAGCACACATCCTGATACAAAAAAAAAAAAATCCAGCATGGAATAGATTCATATTGTTGCATCTGATTAATTCATGCTAAAAAAAACTCTAATAAAATTAGCATGGTCATATTCAAATACATTGGAAAGGAAGAACAGATTAACAGAATAATTTGTTTTTAATCTGTTTCTTCTGTCTAAGTGAATCAGAAAGCCCAACCCTTCTCATCTCAAATCCAATTATTCCACAAAAGAATAAGCAGAGGAAGGGTTGACTCTGAAATGTAAGGAGCTTTCATTACATGCACATGGACAGTGACATTGGGACACAGCCCACCCGTCCTCCCAGGGGCAGATACCATGCCAGCTTCTTCAGGAGAACAAGAGAGGCTCTGTTAAATCTAGAGATGTAAAGCTAAAGAAAACATTTGGGGGGGGGGAATGTTAATGGTGGTGAAGAGGGGACTGAAGAGCTGTCTTGAGTTTGGGTGTTTGGGGTTTGAGTTTTATTTCTGACTCCATCAGGGAGCAGTGGAAATGTTTATTCTGGTTATTTCCAGAACTTAACATGTCTAATGCAAACATGAAAGTTTTATGAGCAAACCAAGTTACATATAGTGCAGCCTTGTACTTCTAAACCAACACCATGTGTTTAGGTTAGTTAAAAAAAAAAAAACTCCAAAAAAAGCATTGCATGTGTTTAATTCTTCCATAAAATTTCCACCCCAAAATGAATAAACTGTTTCAGGGGGCTGGAACATTGGCTCAGCAGTTAAGACCACATATATATCTTGCAGAAGGCACAAGTTTGGTTCTCATTGCCCATCTGGGTGGCTTACAACCATACCTCCAGCAACTACCCATACTCATGCACATACACATAATTTTTTTAAAAAGCAAATCTTTAAAAACCAATTTCCAGGCATACAATGTATGAACTATAACATCCTTGCTAGTTGGAAGCTAAGACTTACCACAAAAGGTTTCCTGGAATCTAGCAGAGAGCTTTTCAATAACTCCGTAGGTCTCCACATAGAATACATGATCTTCCAGGGGCTTGCTAGCCATCATCTTGAGGGACTCCATATCTGCCCGGTCTACACCCACAGCATACAGCTCAATGCCAGATGCCCGGGCCCGAGCAGCCACCTCATTCACTTGGTCCTGGGGCCTCCCATCTGTCACAATAATAGCTACCTTGGGAATATTGGACATGGGCCCCCGAGCTCCTGCCTCCACAGTGAAGGCTTCCTCCATCGCTGTCTGGATAGCCAGCCCAGACATAGTGCCTGTTGACAAGGGTGTGATCCGAGCCACAGCCTGTTTCAGGGCCCGCTTGTCTGAGTAGGTGTTGAGCTGGAACTCTATCTTCACAGTGCTGGCATAATTCACCACAGCCACCCTCGTATCAGCTGCCCCAATGTCCAGAGTGTCAATGATTCGAGCTACAAAGGTCTTCACTTTGGTGAATTCCAGAGGCCGGACGCTACGAGAACTATCGATGATAAACACCAAGTCCAAAGGCCTGCTCTTGCAAACACCTGCAAAGAAGGGTATAAGAAACACAAAAGGCTAAGCAGCCTCAGACCACAATCAAAAATGGGACAGTTGTCACTCCCAGAAAACTCTGGGAGAACAGATTTGGTAGCATCTCCTAACCCCAGCGTACCACTGCCTGCTTCCTTCCTGTCTCTGAGTGTTGCAAACACCCAGATCTTCAGAATTGCCTATGAGAATTCATGTGGAAATGTGACTCTTTCCAAGATGTTGCTTGGAGACTTATCCCACTATTTAAAGTTCTGTTCCTGAGAGTCCTGTAAATCCTGGTACTGAAGGGATCCTTGCGCTTCCTTGGCACTTGCCTGAGACAAAGGGGTAATGACTTCATCTAACACGCAGCTACTGCACTTCCATCTTTGGGAGTGAATCTTGTTTTAAGGATTGGAGATTACGACCTGGTACCTCTCCTACTCCTGCAAACTCTCTTGGCCACTTCTCTCTGCATTTTCTCACTTGTCACTGCCTACACATCTGCCACAATGGCAGACAAGAAGAACCCTCACTGTCAAAGCTCATACATCCTTTCTACACAAAGGCATCTTGTGCCCTCCAGTAACTCAACACGTGTATTCATCGCCATTTACTCTTTCCTAGTCTTTATTGCTTCCTTTAACCTGATTTGCACAGCCCTCTCTCAGCTGCCAAATTCAGGCCACTGTCAGGACTAGAGCGAGAGAATCCAGTTAACACATCTCTTTTTCAGTCCATTCTCCACTTTCAACCAACACACACACACACACACACACACACACACACACACACACACACACCAGTCCTGAATGGAAATGAGGTCCTTAGGAAGTGTCTGTCACAGCTCCTCCTTTCTTAATAAAAGGACAGATTGATACTATTTGCTCAGTCAGTATGTAGACCCAAAGCAAATTCTTAGCCATGAGTGGTGGTGCCAGCTGTATTCAAAACACTTAGGAGGCTAAGGAGGAGGACGCCAAGTTCAAGATATACAGCGAGGTGCCTTCAGAAAAACAAGTGAAATACATTTTTAAAAAAACAAATGATTAGGGCTGGAGAGATAGCTCAGCGGTTAAGAGCACTGACTGTTCTTCCAGAGGTCCTGAGTTCAATTCCCAGCAACCACATGGTGGCTCACAACCATCTGTAATGAGATCTGGTGCCCTCTGCTGACATGTGGGCAGAAGACTATATACATAATAAATAAATAAAATCTTTAAAAAAAACAAATGATTAAGACTCCATCATTATTAAGAGGAAAGGATTTGTCTGGACTAGGGATTTTTGCCTGTCACTGTGCTTTATTTGCTGTTGTTTCATTGTGAGGGCTGGAGATCAAGCCCAGAACTTTGTGTGTAATAGGTAATACTCTACAGTTGAGCTACATCCCCAGCCCCTCAGTTATCTATCTGATCTAACTATCAATCCATCCATCTAATTTATCTATCTATCCACCCATCCATCTGATCTATCTATAAATTTATATATTGTTTCTTTGAGAGAGGATCTCCTGTAGCCCAGGTTGGCCTCTACTTCACTATGTAGCCAAGGATGCCCGTGAGCACACTATCCTCCTGCCTCCACCTCCCAAGTGCCTAGGATTACAGGCATGTGCCACCACACACAGCCTTTTAGTTTTGTTTCCAAAAATCGGAATTTTAACTTCTTGGCTTTATCTTATTGGCTGGATGTACTCCGTTACTAAAATAACACCTTATTTTGAAAGACACTGTAGGCATCCCAGAATGCTAATACAGGATCCTGTGAACTGGGCCATGCAGAGGTTTCAACACACACATCTGGTGGAGGATTGAGAGGAGCAAAACCTGAAAAGCAGTGGAGTAAGCCTGGCCTCCATGACTCTGGTCTCCTAGCTCCAAGACCTTTCTAGTACATAGCAGCTGCTCCCACTGAGGCAATGTTTTCCACCACAAAAATCAACATCATCTCATGTGCTCAGCCGACGTTTGCATATTGACTTTGAGTCACCACCCAAAAGATGCCATATGTCATGTGTTTGGTTAAGTCAAAGGGAATTACAAATCTCTTTTTTTAAGCAACTCCACAATTTCCTTTAAGATTTCCAGGGATCAAGAGCAAGGAAGAGTACCTGTGCTGAAAATCTGCCCTAGACATAGGTTTGTATATTTTTGCACAGTTGGAATGGAAGGAAAAAGCACCACGGTGCAAGCCCTGTAACACCACACTTACTCTAACACCCAAATGAGTGTCCCTACAAACAGTGGATTCTTGTAACTCAATGTGTCTGATTCTACCCTTTTCCATTTGGTTTTTCTGAACTGAATCCTCCATCCCAGGGGTGGGGGAGCGAGAAGCTTTGAGGTGTAATGGGTAGAATAATAACACCCTCATAATACACTCTGGTCCTTATTCCACAGACTGGCACAAATGCTGCTGAACATGGCAAAAGGCCTGCTTTCTTGTCCCTACACCCTCAGCAAAGGTACAAATTGTTTTTGAACCTCACTCCCATGTATTATATCTGCAGTTTGATTCTCAAGAGAAAAAAAAAAAGTGGGGCTGGAGGTGTGACTCAGATGGTAGGGTGTTTGCCTGGGTTCAATTCCAAGTACCACATAAACAGGGTGAGGTGGCATGCGCAAGTGGCCCATAATCCCAGCAGAAGTTCAAGGTCATCCTTGGCTACATAGTGAGTTTGAGGCTAGCCTGAGCTACATAAGACAGAGGGGAGGGAGGGAGAGGAGAGAGAGACAGAGACAGAGAGAGAGAGAGAGAGAGAGAGAGAGAGAGAGAGAGAGAATCCACAGTTTTGCCCATCTTTGCCAGTCTTGTTGACAATAAGAGCCTACAGTAAAGCTTACCAAGTCCTGGTTGCTAGAGTGATCTAGAGGAGTAGAATGTGGCATTTATCAAGGGATTGCTGCCCAAAATCAGGTTTGGAGGCCAGGCTGTAAAGGACCATGGTCACTGTGTGCAAAATCTAGCCTCCTTCTCCCAGTCCTATTCCCCAGGGAGGAGAGTAGAGGTCAAGTTCACTGTCAGAGAAAAGGCTTTCCCCTCCACCCCAGCCTGTAGCAACCAGCCAGCTCAACTTAACCTACAGAGCCCCACAAGCCCCGCCTAGGTAGCAATGCTCTTGTCATTCTAAACTTGGAATTTCAAATCATGGATGATGGAAGAGTCTCCTGAGCCAATTCTTGGCATATCCAGCAAGTCACAGGAGGGGACAGACCATGCAAATTAGCCTGATAGCATCACTGGCCAGATGAGCCTGGCCACCTGGAATAAGATTTGCTACTGCCTCTTTCCAGCCAAGACCAGACAGACTGGAGCTGGATCTTTGGGTTAGGAAGAGAGTTATGTAAGCGGTATGGAGGTCCTGGCAAGCTGCGTAGTGGAAGGAGCCCTTGCTTGACTTCTTAGGGCTCTCATTTTCCCTAGGAGATCTGATGCTGAGTCTGGTCATTTCACTATGCTAAGCCTTGGGGTCCCTGTATGTGTTGTGAGGGGTCATGAAGAACGCCTATCAGCTTCGCTGGGCTCTGTAGATGTGCTCTGCTCAGAGCAAAATCAGTGGTCAAGGAAGAAAATGGAATCTGTACATCGAAGACCATACCTGCCTGGGTTTCAGGGGATCTCACAGAGCATGAGTTGGAGCGCGGTGCTCCGAGTCAACAAACATGGGCAGAACCGAGTAAAGCACCTATAATATAGTTACAGGACATAGCAGTTTGGTTTTCCTTCCTAGTCCCACTCCACCCCTCTCCCGCATCTTCCACTAAGCCGTCTTCCAGATCTTGGCTTCCTTCTAGACCCTTTCTTCTGTAGGGAGAAAGGCACACACGGTGAATGCAGAATAGATGGAGATTTCCAGATAACTACAAACAGGGTGTCGAAGGGTTTGTTCTCCCTAACCAAGAGATCCGAGTCAGGTGGAGCCGGAAGCCCCTGTCTTATTCTCTGACTGATGCTCGCACAGGTGCGCGATGCTCCGTTCCCAAATCTCAAGCAAGTTTCAACTTCGGGATGCTATCATGGTCACGCCCATGACCTTATACCCCCAACCCCCTACCCGCGCCCCTTGGCTGTCGGATCCTTAGTTTCTGAGCGGGAGTGCTGGAAAAAGGATGCCTCCTTCAGCAGCCCGCTTGGAGGCTGGGAAGAAGGAACATTCGGTGATGTTGTATGCTGTCTGCATTCCGAGGTCCCTACCCCTCTTCCCACTTCCAGCTGGGGCTGTGGCTCCCTCTCATGCGAAGCGGTCCCCATCCGCCCTACTGTACCTGCACCTCGGGCTCCGGAATAAGATGCGCGGGTGGGAGTCGCCGGAGCAGGGAAATGCCCAGGGCTGCCCCCAGGGACACGTGTCCCCAGCCGGCGAATACTAGCACGGGCCAAACGTCCCGGAAGGGCCGGGGTCGGCAGCAGCAGCAGCAGCGGCCAAAGCAGCAGCAGAAGTCCCGGGAGATGGCGCGCGGCGGCTGGGAGCAACATGATGGGCTCGACGACCAGTCAGGGTCTGTAAGCCAGGCGGCCGGGCTCGAAAAGTCAGGCGCGGGCGTGGGGCTGCACGTTGGTGGTCAATTTAAAGGTCCCGCTCATGAGGCTCCGCCTCGCCCCCCCCCCTGGAGGGCCACGCCACCCGGACCCTGAAGCCACCGAAGGCCAACAAGAAGCTCTGTCTGCGCATTCCAGTGGCAGGAGCGGAATGTCTGGGGCTAGGCGGCCAGCAGCACGGTGGTCACCGCCCGCCTAGTCCGGTGGGCTCGGCTGGGTGCCTCCTGGATGACTGCCTCCTTAGAAAACCCAACTGGGATTGGGGGGGGGGGCGCCTGCCACACCCTCTTGTGCTAGCCAGGTCTGCGCCCCAGGTCCTATTTGACAAACCCCTGGATTCTGTGCCCACTCAGCTGCAGGTGAGCCTGAGAACTAGAATCTCACACAACACACCTTTCTCCAACTAAGTAAGCCAAATTTCGTTGTTTTTTGTTTGTTGGTTGGTTGGTTGGTTGGTTGGTTTTTTTCCCCCAGGAAAGACCTCACAGATTCTATTACGTGAATAGGATGCTTTCATCCCAGTTTCAATATATCCGTAAACATTTGAACTTATAGTGCCAGGAATAGCAAGTCAAACATACACTTCCCCAGAGAGCCTCCGGTTTGCTGGAAGAACACCCTGTCTTCTACACCCCGCTTCCTCTCTGGCACAGAGACCAGCAGACAGCACAGGGCTGGAAATGGCTCAAGGGACCCTCAACTCACTTCGAGAGAGAAGACAGATAGTGTACTGCTAAGGGGACGTGGTGGAGTAGAGAAGTGGCCTGTGGGGGAAGGGAAGCTAAAAGCAGGGGAGGAGCCCTGAGCTGGGTCTTCAAACACAGCAGTGAGCATGAATGAGTCTCAACCGATCCAATGCAGTGTTTCTGTCGGTGATTTGTTTCCCTTCTACCATCCACCTACATTGTAATCTAACAATCACGTCACAGCCAAGAGATAGAAGCAGTCTGGTGCCCTCTGGGTGAATGGATACACAGAAAATGTGTATTCTGCATGTCCTAATTAGGGTTACAATTGCAGCGATGTAATGTCACAACCAAAGCAACATGGGGAGGAAAGGGTTTATTTATGGTTTGCGCTTCCACATTGCTGTTCATCATAGAAGTCAGGACAGGAACTCAAATAGGGCAGGAACCTGGAGACATGAGCTGATGCAGAAACCATGGAGTGAAGTTGCTAACTGGCTTGCTCTTTGCTCAGTCTGTTTCCTTCCTTCCTTCATTCCTTTTTCTTTTCTTTTCTTTTTCTTTCTTCCTCCCTCCCTCCCTCCCTCCTCTCTAAGACAGGGTTCCTCTGTGTAGCAGCTCTGGCTATCCTGGAACTTGCTTTGTAGACCAGGAGGGCCTTGAACTCACTGAGATATGCCTGCCTCTGCCTGCCCAGTGCTGGTTTTAAAGGCATGTGCCACCATGCCACCACGCTTGGCTCTTTTAAATATGTAGCCCAGGCTGGCCTCAAACTCGTGATCCTCCTGCCTCCTTCAGCAAATCCACAACCTTGGCTCAGCCTGCTTTCTTATAGAACTCAGGACCACCAGGTCAGGAGTAGCCTTACCTACAATGGGCTGTGCCCTTCCCACACTCACCAATTAAGAAAATATCCTCTGAAGAATCTAGCTTGTGTCAAGTTGACATAAAACTAGACAGCATAGTGCATATATAAATACTAGTAAGTCTTCAAAATGAATTTTAGGGGCTGGAGAGATGGCTCAGAGGTTAAGAGCACTAGCTGCTCTTCCAGAAGTCCTGAGTTCAATTCCACATGGTGGCTCACAACCATCTTAATGAGATCTGGTGTCCTCTTCTGGTGTACAGACATACATGCAGATAGAACACTCAAACACATAAAATAAATAAATCTTTAAAAAATAAATTCTAATGCAGGTTACAAAATGGATGAACCTTGAGAACATTTTGCAAGGAGAAATAAGCCAGTCACAAGAAGGCAAGTTTGGAATGACTCTGTCTGTATGGGGCATCTAAAGTAGTCACAGCCTGTTTGCATTGAAACAGTAGAATGGTGGCTCCTGGGAGACAGGGAAGGTGGGCAGTGGGAGTTGTTCAATGGGTATAAAATTTCAGTGTTGCACAAACACGTGCACTCACAAAGGAAAAAAGAAGCTGGGATGTACTCTGTTGGTAGAGTTTTTGCTTAGCATGTGTGAAGCCCTGGGTTTGATCCTCAGCATCATACAAACCAGGGAAGGGTGATATAATCCCAACACTTAATGGAAGCCAGAAATTTAAATGTCATCCTCTATTATGTATTAAGTTCAAAGTCAGCAGGATGTCTCCAAGCTAGGGTAGGGGGGTGGGGTTAGTAGATGAAGAGATGAGTCCACTTGGTGTGCCTCTTCATGTGATACTTTCTTGAGTATGGGTACCAGGAACACAAGGACAAAGCCTGAATTGTTCACTACCTAATCTCCAGAAAGTGAATTTTGCCAAACTAAGGCTCCTAGTCAGAGATAAAACTGAGATGTCAAAAGATGCAGGTTCCCTGGCCTGGTGGGTGTTTAGACTCACTGTGTCAAGGGTGGTCAACAGGCATGGTAGACTGTTTGCAGAAGAAACAGCCTGGCCCAGCTTATTCTAAGAGGAAAGGCTTTTCTGTGTTCTGTTTCACAGACTGACAACAAACTGCTGTATGCTGGGCATCAGTTCCACATAGTAGCCTTCCTTGACCTTCTCCAGCAAGGTGTGGTTCCTCAGCCACCACCAGGCTCCCACTGGGTAAAGTAACAACAAAGTAATGGACTAATTTATAGATGCCTGTGAGCAACTGTTAAGAAAAAAACTGAATTATTTAACCAAGAATTAATTATGGGTGGCTTTTCTTTTAAAAATATTTCATTTTCATGTTGCTGTACTGTTTTTTGTTGCTCTGTTTTAAAATCTTTTTTGAGATAGGGTCTATGTGGCCATGTGGCCCTGTGGCCCTGGCTAGCCTGCAACCAGCTATGTTGATCAGGATGGCCTTGAACTCACAGAGATAGGCCTGTCTCTGCCTCCCAAGTGCTAAGACTAAAGGCGCATGACACCATGCCTAGCTAACATTTGTTTTTATTTTATGTATATGGGTGGTGTGTGTGTGTGGGTGTGTGTGTGTGTGTGTGTGTGTGTGTGTGTGTGTGGGTGAGAGAGAGAGAGAGAGAGAGAGAGAGAGAGAGAGAGCATGCATCACATGAGCATCTGGTACCCAACAAGGAAAAATGAGAGCATGAGATCCCTCTGAACTGGAGTTACTGATGATTGTAGGCCTTCACTGAGGTGCTGAGAACTAAACTCTAGTCCTCTACAAGAACATGATACTCTCATACCCACTGAGCCATCTTTCCAGCCCACTCCCTACTTCCCTGATTCATAATGTACTGACTATATTAGAACTGTTATCTATTAGTAGACTTCAGCTATCACCTCTCTATTACTAATCCCCAAATCTGTGAGTTTGGAAGTCTCTAACTAAAAGCACTTTCAGCTCAACACATCAAACAATAAACTCTAGATCTGTGGTAATTTTCCCCTGTAACCACTATTGTCCTGGCCACTCGGGCACAACACAAACCTTGATATCCTCTGGTCCCTCTGGTATTAAATAAGTTGCTAAGTCTTCTAGACATATCTCCTGCTTAATCCAACTCTCAATAATGATTTCAATCACCCTGTGGGAAACATATTTATTTTTCCAGCCAGACAGGATGCCTGAAGAAGGAATCAGGGAGAACAGAAAACACATTTAAAGAAATAACAGCTAAAAAATTTCCATACATGATGAAACACGCAGGTCTGAGGCTCTCAATGAACTCCAGGCACAGGAAACATTTAAGACCACAAAGTCAACCTTCAGGAATATACACAAATTGATTGAAATCTGTGCTATGAAATGTTTGAATTGCTCGAGGAGGAGGGGGAGGGGATGTTCCATACAGAGTGGAGCAAAAGTCCATAAATTTCTCTCTAGAAATAATGTATGCAAGAAGATGTCGAGGCAGCATCTTTTATACCCTGCAAAAATAGCTTTAGAAAGCAAAGACAGAATAAAGAACAGCAATGCACACAAAAGCCAAAAAATTAAAAAAAAAAAAAAGTCCATCACAAAGTCACCTGTAAAAACATGTCAAAGGAACTTTGTCCAGCAAAGGAAAAACACTACCAGATGGGAAAGGAATGTAGTGCTGCAAAGGCTAACTAAACAGATACCCACATCATTTCTATGATTCATCTTCTCTTTAAAAGATAACTATTTAACCTAAACTAAGAGGCACAGACCACCAGGGGTGGAAGGAATCTGTGATGATACTCCTTCAAGTCTGAGTTACTTACTAAAGCCATAGGACCCATCAATGAGTCAGCCATGAGTATAAATGACATTTCTGGGGCCACCGAATGAACGATGACAGCATGATTTCAAAACTCCTGACAGACAAGGAACAAAGTCATTCTTTCTTTGGTTTCCAGGTCAAATACTTTTCTTCTCCCTCTTGGCCATTCCCCAGTCGTGGCTTGCTCCCTCGCACACCTCAACATAATATTTGCAGAGGGATGTGTAGGCAGCCAGCCCTCCTGTCTGTCACCTCAGTTGATCCTTGGAACTAAGGGAAGTACATAGGTGAGGATTTACATCTTCCTGGTTTTACAAAGC